TCATGGTCCCAGGGTCCTGGGATCGAGCCCCGCGTCGGGCTCCCTGCTCAGCAGGAAGCCTGCTTCTCCCTCCCCCACTCCCCCTGCTTGTGTTCCCTCTCTCGCTGTGTCTCTCTCTGTCAAATAGGTAAATAAAATCCTTAAAAATAAAAAAGAAATTCTTTCATTTGTAAACATTTATTCTACTTCCAATGTTACAGAATGAAACAAGGATGATTTTTATTTATCTTTGTATCAGATGCCCTGGCCAGTACAATAAGACAAGAAAAGAAATGGAATGGATGATAAAATTAGAAAGGAAATAAAACTGTCATTACTCACTGATGCCATGAGTGCCTACATGGAAAGTTCAAAAGTGGACAAATCTTTAGAAATAATAAATAAATGTATTCATCTTTCTAAATACCAAATCAACATACAAAATTTCATCATATTTCTATATACCAGTTACAAACAAATAAAAACCAAATCATTAATATCCCATTTACAGTAGAATATACCAATATCAAACATAGGCATAAATTTCATGAAAGATGTGCAAAACCTCCATACTGAAATGTCACAGGAGGGTAGTGAAAGAAATTAAGGAAGACCTAACTGAATAGGGAAAAAATATATTCAAAAATTGGGAGGCTGTATTTTAAAGATGCAAATTCTCCAGAAATTACTCAGTAAATCAAAGCAATCTCAATCAAAATCTTCTGAGTTCTCTGGGGGGAGAGGGCACATATTTAAAAAATAACTTTAAAATACTTATGGAAAAGCTTGTATCCCAGACACGTGGCAATTTTGAAGAAGAAAACCAGAATATTCAAATTACATTCCTAGGCCCTGTCAATATTAATACCTATTGTGCAGATTTGGCACAAAGACAGGCTAAGCAATCAATAGAAAGTAAGAGACACTCTAACAACACACATATTCCATTAGATGACTTATGTCAAAGGCGACTCAGTGGTGTAGTGGGGAAAGTGTGAGAACTTCAATAATTGATGATGGATCGATTTTCTAAAAGTATCTTGGCCCCTAATTTATAGCATACATAAAAATACATTCCAGGTGAGCTGAAGATCCAAATGTGCTTCCAGTACTTGGTATTATTAGAATTTTATAATTTAGACATTCAAAAAGGTGTGCAATGGCATCATATTTTAGTACTAATTTTATTTTCCCTAAAGACAAATTATATTTGGCATCTTTTCACGTGCTTATTTGCCATTCATGTATACTCTTTTTTGTGAAGTATCTTATAAAACATTCACTAATTCTTTTTTTTATATAATTCAGTTGTGTATTTTCTTATTTTTGTGAATAAAAAATTATTTATGGATTCTGGACACAAGTCCTTTGTAAGATATATGATTTGCATATATATTGTCCCACTTGTAGCATTGTTTTTATTCTATTAACAGTGCCTTACACAGAGCAAACATTTTAATTGTGCTAAAGTCAAATTTATAGTTTTATATCTCTTATAGATCATGCTTAATGTCATCTTTAAAAGCTCTTTGCCTAAACCAAGATCATGAAGATTTTCTCCTATCCTTCTAAATATTTTATATTTCTAGTTTATATTTAATTCTATCATTTATTTGAGTTAGCTATTTAAATAAGGTATGAGGGGGGCGCCTGGGTGGCTCAGTCATTAAGCGTCTGCCTTCGGCTCAGGTCATGATCCCAGGGTCCTGGGATCGAGCCCCGCATCGGGCTCCCTGCTCCGCGGGAAGCCTGCTTCTCCCTCCCCCATTCCACCTGCTTGTGTTCCCTCTCTCGCTGTGTCTCTCTCTGTCAAATAAATAAATAAATAAATAAGGTGTGAGGAATATCTCAAGTTTCATTGTTTTCCATCTGATGTTCAATTTTTCCAAAACCACTTGAAAAACCTGCCTTTTGTCCATTGAATAGTCTTTGCAATTTTTTTCTCAAAAATCAATCATCCTATGTGTATGCATTTCTTTCATAATATTGGAGTTCCTGGAAATAAAGCCAATGAATATGTGGGGTACCCCAAAGACTGTGGGCCCCAGAAGTTTCTCCCTTCCATGTTAGTTCACAATCATCCACCAACAATTGTCAAAATTACCATTTAAATGTTGTTACCAAGTTGTGACTCCATTGCTCCTTTCCCAGTGAGGCACCTTTTGGCTCTGTCTTTCAGAATTTGTCCTTCTAGGTTCCTAATAGTAGTTTGTTCTGCAAACCCAGTTCTCTGGTGGTCTAACAAATGTCATTGATTTTCAGTTTATCCAGAATTTATGCGACTGACAACTTCCAAGCTCTTTACATCTCTGAACTGTGACCTGAAATCCCCGTAGCCTCTTGCTTAAGTTGTACTTCATGGTAGGCTAGCCACCCAGTCTAAGCTGGTATACCAGATATTTTAGCCTGTTTGAAGTCTAATGTGTTGATTTCATTTGTAGCACTAAGAGTGGGTTCTTGTTACTTCTATCCAAGTGGACCCTAACCAAGTGGCAACTAAATGTTACAGCTTCTTTACTACACACCATATGTAACTATATGCCAAAGCTAGAGGAATCTTAAAAATTGGGCAGAATGTAAATATCAACATATCAACAGCAGCCAAGCAATTACAAACTGGCATTTGAAGGAAAAAGTAGCTGGCTATTATTTAAGTTTGTCATGAAAGTCAATGGCACTCTTAAATTCAACCCAGCATTTCAAACTAATGTCAACCTATTTCACTTGAGCAAAGTTCACCTTACTTACAACCAAGACTTACAGGCTTCAAGAAATTTAGTGAACAATCTGATAAGCAAAGGAGACCATATTTGTTTATAGGCCCAGGACCCGAAATTTCTCAAACATCATAACCAAAATAAGTACATATGAATTTTTGTACCAGAAAAACTGTCTCAACATCATATTATAAGTATAATATATTTTGTCCATTACATTGAAAATAAGTCTTCATTGTGTAACATAATTTTATATGAATTGTGCCTATTTGTAGGCACCTCATTAATCTATCTACCTAAACAATTATTTTTGTAATTTATTTTTATGGCAGAGCAAGTCTTACCTTATTACTCATTTTCAAAACATTTCTAGCCATTTTTATAAATTTGGTTGGAGGGGAGTGGGGTAAACTTTAGAGGCATTCTTTTAAATTTAAAATAAGAATTGTACTGGGAATGCATTTACTTATGGATTAAAGAAGAATTATTGTTGTTGTTGTTTTTATAATTCTGGAACTTTCCATACTGGAGAAACACATCTCATATCTTTCTCTTGACTCCAGTGTATGGGTCCTCTCTGTTTATTACGTTAGTTCTTGATCTGTTCTTTGAGCAGGTAAAGTTTGTTTTTTTTAATGTCATTGAGTAAAATACTTTTAGACTGAAATTCAAAGCAACTGCATTTTATTTACTCATGGCTATGCTCAAAGATTTCTACAAGTATATTTAAATCATACTTAAAATATAAATTCCTTATGACATTTTTTCCTTTATGAAAAGTCTATATTGGTTTTATTTCTCATTGGTTTTAAAATACAGCTTATATGGAGTTCTATATTGTTGAACTGACACATTTTGACTCCTTTCTTCTCCCATTTCTTCTAGGATTTGAAATCCATCGATAGTAGGCTGTCAATCTTGTTTCCCTCAGTTTTTTTGCTTTACGAATATCTCTTAATCCTCAGTTTGCACATTCTTTGTCCTGTGGAGTCCAGACAAAAATCTTTCTAAATATTGCCTATGTGTTTTTTTCTAAAAGATTTATCTGTTCCCTGCTGTGTTCTTTCTGACTGTATTTTTCTTTCACAGGCCCACAGTTTTCTTGGGGGTCAGAAATAGTTTTTAGATGAGAAATATTAGGTCAACTTCTAAGGCTCTTAATCTTGGGCAAATTTCCTCATCCTCTTCTTGATGTTTTCCTTTTTCTTCTCTGCATTTGTACTGTAGCTTGTAGGTTCATTGCTTTACAATAATTACACCTAATTTTACTTGTAAAGTTTTACCTATAAAAAACAAATTAGGCACCCATATTTTGTTCACGAATATTATGCCTTTTTTAAAAAAAAAAAAAACCTTAGCTTTATGAAAAAAAAGCTTTCGCTCTCTTTCATATATTATAATGTACAGGAAAATAAAATCTTTGAATTCTGTTTATTTACAACGATACCTAATAATGTCATCAGGTTTCTTTGTATCTGTTCTGAAGTGTGCCTCTTTGGGAGAACTGAAGATGATACTTAGTGATTGTTACACTTTCTGTATGGGAAAAGGCTGTGACATTAAATCACACCATCATATGAATTCAGTTTCATTAATATATCAGGAACCACTACAATAAATTGCATTATTTTTTCCTCAGATGATGGGATGGCCTAAATAGTTGAGTCAGACAACTGATGATTCTCTAATTCTAAAATCATATTGTAAAAAGTACATATTAGTCCACTAAGTTGAAATGTTGTTTTCATCACAGGATATATTTTTACATGGTTTTAAATCTATTTCTGGGCTCTGCATTAATCTATCAACTTGCACAACAGTTTTTTTTTTTTTCAATCTATTGATTTCATGCCCCGTTTCAGATTCCCCTCTGCTCATCCGATAGCAGTGCAGCCCTGGTGATGTCTAATGCCACTGACCTGCCACAAACAATCTCTGGCAGCCTCATTGTGCTTCCTTTTTTTTTTTTTTTGTCCTGTAGCCAAGGAAAGCCATCCAAGTAACAACAAGGGGCAGCCTGAAAATCTTGGAAAATTAAGGCCCCAGAGGCAACAATCAATCAAATGGAATGGGGATTAGTGGATGAATTGCTTCTTATATCAGAGGGAGAATGCTGATGTGCATGTTGCATGGATCCTCAGGGGATGCCCCACAGGAATGGGCACCATTTCCCACAGTGGTGGCCCTATCAATAATGCATGCTTTATTGTCTTTTCTTTTTCCCTCTTTCACTCTCCCACTGTCCCCTCCAGTTCCTGAAATTACCTCCAAAATAATATGCTTGCAACTAAATTCTCATTTCAGGTTCTGCTTCGGTGGAACCCAAAATAAGAAAGGTGTAACGGAAGGGGCCCAAGAAAACAGTTGCTCAGAATGGGATTGTGACCTCGATCACTTGGAGGATCCTGGACAAAAAGACAATTTACTGGTAGAAGCAAAGGTGGTAGGAGCTCTGGTATGTGGTAGCCTCACAATTATTCTTTTTTTTTCTTTTTTTGCGAGGATATAATACTTTATTCACTAACATGGGTCAAGGGGTTGTAGTGAGCGGGGAGTGGGCGCCGTTTCCAGGGTTCCCAGTGAGGGGATTCTCCCCGCCTCCCAGTTCCAAGGCAGCCAGGCCTGCCATCCCACCCTTTCCCAGCCCCTGGTGGTGAGCCAGGGAGGTCCTGATTAATGCGGCCCCAGGTCGGGGTCCCAGCGTGGCCTCACAATTATTCTGACCTTTCCCTGTGCTGAATGGGAATAGGTACAGGGAGAAGGGGGAAGCTTTGGTTCATGTAGTAGCTCTAGTACTTGAGTGGTATGGAGGTAAATAGTAATTAAGATTGTGGAGGTGGCTTTTTTATTAACTGCCTTAAGAGCCTTGAAAAACACGAATGTCAAGCTAAAGCTGATAACTATCAACTCAGAGCACGCTGTGAAACCAAAAGGTCTCCAAAGACGCGTTTATAGAGACATTTAACTCTTGCAGATGGAAGGCAAACAGTGTTGAGGATTAGGCCTAGGATTTAATTATGATCTTAGGAGAACTTCAGAGGCAAATAAATGTGCAGTCTCAAAAAATCTTCACAATAAAGTTAGGGCCCTGATATTAAATAAGAACACAGAGTTGGGATGGAGAAAGATGAGTAAATGAATTTCAGAAAGTTGAACTCTGAGATTCTCCTAAACCTCACCCTCCCCCACTAAGAAAGCTAAAATAGACCCCTCCCAACTGCTAGCACTGAGAAGGTCTTCCATTGCCTGGACATTAACCTCACAAAATAATGATTATTTCCCTGAAGATTCATGTCTGAATATCATCAGTACTTCCAGATCAATGCATAGGGTCAGGTTCATGCATAGTCCCATCCAGAAAATACATGAAAGGAAATAGTTATTTACAGATAGATTTGCAAGATTCAGCGCATATGTATGAGCACTTGTCTGGTTACAGATGTACCAATGGAACGTGAGGGTTTTAGACCAAGCTGTTAGGATGAGTTGAGGGTGGAGTGCATTACAAGCCTGGCTGGAGAAGAATTTATTGCTCTCCTATGCCCTTTCCTATGGTCGGTGATTTAACATCCTTGGAAGGACAGGTGGAACAAGTCCTAATCTTGCAGTATGGGAATTTTAAGGGACCACTAGAAAGTGGCACCTGAATCTCTGAGAAGCTCAGTCACTGTCCTCTGTAGGTCAGGGTTTCACTGTAACAGATGCTGATAGAGAACTGGGTTCCCTAAGGTCAGGGAGATTGACAGGATTCTAAATGAGCAGAATCCAGGTGGTGGCACTTACCTGTCAGGGACATGGTTGACATAATTACTGTCATTATCAGCAAAATTGGAATGGCAATGAGCATGGCCTGTAGAGATTTATGGCAATGTCTAATAGACCTTGCTTGGTGTTCCTATGGATCATGTAGAGGAGCAGCCATATAGAGTATTTATTACCTTGTACAGCCAGAAAAATATTAAGTACCACTAAATGGAAGACTTATGTCATCTACTAAAATGGGAAATTGTGATTTCTTGCCCAGTTTCTAGACTGAGGCAGTTCTCAAGTCCATGGCCATTGACTGTAGATTGGCTGGTTCCCTCTGAGAAAGGACCCTGAAAGACCATTAAAAATATAAACAGTAAGTGCTCTCCCAAATCTTACCCAAATTGATTGGTGCCCATTTATCAGCTTGACTGTACACTGGGGGACAAAGAATGTCAGGCTTTGGAAGAGCAGCTGATAGAGTTAGGAGGGGGCCCCAACACCAGCATGGCCAAGCCGTTAGAGTGCAGACATAGGGAGCTCATGTGTAAACAGAACACTGGCTTGAATGTGTCTCACCGTGGGTCCTCTGTCACCATTACCCTGGTCCTCAGCTACATAATTGGGATGAATCTACTTAGCAGCCAGCAGAGCCCTTAAATTAACTTCCCTTCCTGTGAGTAAGAACTGTCACAGTGGAAAAAGCCAGTCAGAAATCCCAGAAACTGCCCTCCCAACGCCAGCCATGTTGATAAAGCATAGCGATTCCTCATACCAGGGGAACTGTAGACAGTGCAACTCTCCAAGATAGATTGCTCTTGTCAAATCTATTCCATGGCCTCTGCAACTACCAAATAGATTTTGGCACAAAACCATGGACTGCTGTAATCTTTTTTTTTTTTTTTTTAATTTTTTTATTGTTATGTTATGGACTGCTGTAATCTTAACCAAGATGTTGCTATGATTGCGACTGTGGTTTCAGATAGGTCTTTCCTAAGTCAGATCGGCAAGTTGACGTAGCCAATGTGTTCTTTTCAAATGCCTTCGGGTAATGGAGTAAATGGTTATTTGCTTTTACATGGGAAGGATAGCAAGCCTGTTCAGACCCCTCTGCTCTTGTCATGGCGTAGTCCACAGAGCTCTGATTGTCTGGAAACGTTAAAGAACACTGGGAAATCTGGCTCAGGGTACCTGCTGAACAGGAAGTGGCAAGTAGCCCGGATCTCCCAGAAGGACACATTCTGGTACTGGTGTCTGAGGGGAATTTAATTAGATTGGCTCTGACAGTTGTAGAAAAACTATAGTTAGCTCTTGTCACCAAGAGGAACTGCTGCCTGGGTGTCATCACAGCCTGAGAAGAGGATGCCCACGGGGACGGGAGGGAAATCAGAGGCCATGTGGAAGCAAGAGGAAGGAGCAAGTGTCTTCTTTCCCCTCCAAGCATATAGTCTCTCTTTGGCAGTCCTATTGGCAGAGCCTACAGTGAGCAAGCTGGCAAGGCAGAAATGCGGAGTGCTGGGTCCAGCTATGGCATGCAGTGGCAGATTTTGGGCTGAGTGGCGTGCAATGGCGGATTTTTGAGCTGAGAGACAATGTCTTCATAATTGACACAGCCCACATGTGTGGCAGCTCAGTCACAGACACTTTACTAGTTTTCTCTGCCTTACTGATTCACTGTCCCTACTTCTTCCCTCTGGCCTCTTAGGATCACTTCTCAAATATACTACTTGTACCCAAATCCTTGCTTTGGTCTCTGTTTACAGGATGGAACCTGCTACGGACTGAATGTTTGTGTCCCTTCAGAATTCATACGTTGAAATCTTAAACCCCAACGTGAAGGTATTAGGAGTTGGCGTCTTTGGGAGGTAAGTAGGTCATGAAGGTGGAGTCCCCATGTAGGTGGTTAGTGCCCTTATAAGAGACAGGAGAGCTTGCCTGAGGCCAAGTGTGAGTACAGTGAGGAGACGGCCTATTGTAAAAACAGGAAACATGCTCTCACTAGGTATCTGATGTGTAGCCACCATGCTCTTGGACCTCCCAGCATCCAGAACTGGGAGAAATAAATATTTGTTGCTTAATAGCCACCCAGTCAATGATATATTTGTTATTACAACCCAAACTAACAAAATAAAACAGTGATTCTTATTTAAAATACACACAATTGCATCAATCACATAAATAAAAATCACGAAGAAAAGTTCAGTTTTTAGAGAATCAGGTTTCTTTGTATGATCTCTAATCAATTATGCTTCTTAATGTTGAGTCATCGGTCAGGTCACTTAAGCTCTAGCTTGCCTAAAGAGATTTGCTGGGATGCAGTAGTGTATGATATACAAACTCACCCCTTTTTAATTATGATTGAATTGATCACTGATTTTTGTCAATTTCAAGATGCACTGAAATGATAGTATACATTAACCTTAGCATTTTTTTAGTCAAAATCTGTGAATTCAGCAAAACTTTATAGCAAAGCACAAAGCTACTTCTGAATTTTACCTTTTTTCATATTATTCATATTATAAAGAACACAGAGAAAAACATTTCATTTACTATAAAATGTATGTAGATTAAAAGTATAGTCAAAAAGAAGAGTATCTGTAACTGATACACTTAATTCTACACTGTAATTGCTCTTACTCTCTATTATAAATGCCCACTGTCTTCTCTCTGAAGCTGCAATTCAATAGCTTAAACTCTTAATGAGAAATAATCCCCTTTGAATTGACTTTAGCTTTTGGATATCTTGGGCTGACTGACTTTTTTTTCTTTTTTATAGAGTTAAATTCTGTATACTATAGGTAAAATTAAGTTTACCTCTCAATTCACCGGATTCAATTCAATTTAGTGCATTGAAATCTTCACAGTTTAACAAAGCTTTACCAATTTGTCCTTTTCAAATGTGTATTTTGCATTTAAAATTTGAAAATGGATTGCTTAAATCATTCAAACATTCAAAAAATATTTATTGATTGCCTGTTTCTAAGGGTTCATATTCTGGATCTATCTTAATATTCTCTTTTGGCCAGAATCTTTACTTTCGTAAAGGTTGTGATCTGGTCTTTAAAAATAAATTTATAAATAAGGAAAAATCTTACATTTTCCATTTTCATGTTCCAGTGATTTTATATAAAATATAACTTTCAAATATTGATTTATGTTAAATCTTAGTATGTGAATTCTATCAGGGAAGGTATTTTTGTCTGTCGTTCACTGCTGTTATGCTAGCATCTAAACTGAGGTACAATACATGCTGAGAGTTTAATAAACATACATTTAATAAATGAATTGATGTTACCTGTTTTTAAAAGAGAATTTCTTTTTACAAAAAACAAAACTGCAGTAGGCAGGTAAGTGGTTGAGTTAATGACATTCCTAAATTCTTGGTATATTTTTATCAACCTCTGAGAAGCTGCCTTCTATTTTTATTTAATAATCTTATTTATCCCATGCCCCTCTCCTATTTTTATTTGTCCCCATACATCTGTAATCAATCTAATCATCGTACATTTATTTAATATATATCTACTGTTTTTATGTATTCTTACAGAAACATTTTTTTAATCATTGAAGTATAGTTGACATACAATGTTATATCTACATATTTTTAATTTAGGCAAATCATACATACATATATAGGTATATATACATTTATCGTGTATTTCTTCTTTTTTCCCATGAAGTACTGCCTTGTAATGGATCTAGCTATGTTGCTATGTGAATATTTAATCCATTATTCTTTCTTGCTAAACAATATTCCATCTAAAACATATCCAGTCATTCAGATAGATGCATAGCTTGCCTCTAATTAATCACAACAAAAAGTAATGTTGAAATAAATACTTTTATCCATATCACTTTTTGGACCTATGAAAATTTTCTTGAGATCTACATGGTGGAGTGTAATTGCTGGGTCATAGTTATGTGCATACTTAACTGGAATGTCATATCAGAATATGAATCCCTACTAGTAGTTTTTCATCATCAGAGTTGTATATATGTAAATTAATTTGGTTAGCTTTCAAGTATCTTTTGAGTAGTGTGTTCACAGTGTATCTCATCCAAGTAAAATGATCTTAGTATAATTGCCTTCATATTAATCCAATTTTCTTTCATCCCTTTGATCCTACCAGTAATGCGTTATGTCACCTCAGAAAACCAAAGGGAATTTATCTAAATATGTACTCCTATTAGCCTTATAAATTTCACTAATATGAAACTAAAGTCAATACAAAAAAATTGAGTATTATTCTTTCTTATTCTGAAGACAGTATAATTTCCTGTGCCACTAGGCTCTGATACTAGTCCCCAAATCTTGATATTTCTATTTTCATTAGTGAGAAATTCAAAACAAATGTTTATAATGACTTTTAATGAACAAAACCAGGTGAAAATACTTGATTTTTTATAATACAGTAATATCTTTATTGTTGGTATATTGTGGTAATTCTCTAGATCTTACCTTAATGAATAAGTATTATAAAACTTGTATCATTAACAAATGAATTAGTAATTAATTAATTACTTTTTGTTTATTATTATGTTTCTATTTATAATTTTCTATTTCCACTTTCTGAAAAGCAAATTTGCATTTCCCAGGTTAATCAGCAATAATTATACCATATCCTTGAATATACACTATGACCAAGTTTATTAAATTATGTTTCATAATAAATTTCATGTTGCACTTATCCCAAGATAAGCCCCGTGGGAAATGGACAATCCACATGATCTCAGGGCAACAGATAAAATGCCTAAATATAAGGTGTAATAAATATCTGCCAAGTTTTCATTCAACTCATATATGTTATATCCCATAATTCTATGGAATTATGCATAAATCATTGAACTCACAACTGATTAATATACATTTTTAATTGTTATACAACAAAAGTAGATTTGTTTCAATATTAGAAATCAATTGTAATTAATTATAGTCAGCCACTTTTAGGAAGCCTGAAGTACGGATAATTATTCTCTGGGTAGGTTCTATACTATTGGAAACTTCTGTTCATGACCTAGCTTGGTTTTATATGTGTATGTACATTTATTCAAATATATATACAAATTGCCTTCAGATTTTTCATATATGTAACATATTAAGATATATTTTAAATCATATATATTGTGTTATGTACATATATACATATATTCAGATTGGCTTCAGATTTTCATATATGCAATATACTAAGATATATTATAAATCATACATATTGTATATATTTTTGAAGCCAATTTGATGATATTATACATCATCAAAATGGTTCAAAAATATTAAATATGTCCCTCTTCATAGAAAACAAAGTATAACCTACTCTAGTTTTCATCATATATTTCATATGATTTGCCTAAAATTTCTCTACCCGTTTAACTTCACCCTCAAATACTGTGTAGCCAAATTATTTTATAATAAAAGATTATATTAAAGCATTAATCATCTTAATGACATTATTTTTACTATCTTATCATAAAACTAGAGCTTGAAGAGAAGATCACATTTCTCTCTCTGTGAGAATTTAATCCATTTCACTTTTTCATTTATTTATGCTGTTTAATTCTCTGCTCCTTTTATAGTATAGGTATATGGTAATTCTAATTAACTATAACCTTGTATTGTTTGACTTGAAAAATAACTTATCTGGGGCACCTGGGTGGCTCAGTCGTTAAGCGTCTGCCTTCGGCTCAGGTCATGATCTCAGGGTCCTGGGATCAAGCCCCGCATCGGGCTCCTTGCTCAGCGGGAAGCCTGCTTCTCCCTCTCCCACTCCCCCTGCTTGTGTTCCCTTTCTCACTGTCTCTCTCTGTCAAATAAATAAATTAAAAATCTTTAAAAAAAAAAAAAAGAAAAATAACTTATCTGTACGAAATAGGTGCTTGGCAATAAATAATTTCTTGAAAATGAAGAGATTAAAGATAGAGGTTTCCAGCTACTGTATGAATAGGTCACAGGAGTAAAAAGCACAGCATAGGGAATACAGTCAATGATATTATGACAGCGATATACAGGGGACAGATGATAGCTGAACTTGTGAGCATGGCATAATGTATGAACTTGTCAAATCACTTAAGTTGTACACCTGAAACTAATAACACTATATGTTAACTACACTGGAATTTAAAAAAAGAGAGAATTTAAGAAAGGTAGATGGAACAAATGATTTTGAACAAAAGATGGGTTTGGTTTTGGGAATGCTGGCTTTGATTTTTGGCATATTTTAATGCATCAGCTTACTCCAGAAATGTTCATTGAATGCCTGTATAATAGTGAGAAGCTGATGGTAGAATAATTAAAGCAAAATATTTTATCAAAGTTCTTATAATTGTATTGCAAATTTGGGAAATTGGAGCAAAATTAGAAGAAGCAGACTAGTCGAACTTCTCATAATAAAAAGGAAATAGAATAGTAGAATTTTGGGGGCACCTGGGTGGCTGTTTGTTAAGCACTCGATCTCAGCTCAGGTCTTGATCTCAGGGTTGTGAGTTCAAGCCCCGCACTGGAGCCTACTTAAAAAAAAAGAATAATAGAATTTTTGAATTGGTAGAGATTAATTTTTCAACCCTCATTATTTAAATTAAGGAAAGTAGATTAATGCTTTTGGTTTTTTTTGTTTCAAGTTTTTTGTACAAATATTCATAGTTCTCTCATTAGATTAAAATAGAAAAAAAAAACTTTAAACAGAAAAAAATCCAATTGGGCATTTTTTTTTTTTAATTTTTTTTTCAATTGGGCATTTTTATTTAACCTGCTGTATTAGTTTTCTATTGCTGCTGTGATGAATTACCAAAAATGTAGTGGTTTAAAACAACATTATTATGTTACAGTTTTGGAAGTTAGAAATCCT